TGACAGTAATAGACTCCTGTTACCTCACCACCCTTCCAACCGGAGATTCCGAGTATTCCTGGACTATGAGGCTGGGCGGCTGTCCTTTTATGAGCTGTGTGACCCCATCTGACACTTACACACCTTCACTGCCACCTTCACTGAGCCTCTCCATGCTATATTCAGGGTACATGAGGATAATACCTGGCTGAGAATTTATCGAATGATTTATTAATATAATTAAAGATATTTAACTGTAAATTGTTGAAGTGGGAATCAGGAGCCAGTAATACTGATCTGGGTGTGGGCGGAGCATCACAACAGGGTTAGCTCCACCCAATTGAACTGGGTGTATGCGGATCCTGTTACTGAGCAACCACTGCTCTGTGTATCACTCCGTGTGTGATTGTGGGTGAATTTTACTGACATTAAAGCAGAATTACTCAATACAGACAAACCTCTCTGTGAAGAAAACCCCTGTTTTATGTACTTAGTTTGACTGATTTGTACTCCCCTCCCCCCCCTTAGAATACCAGTTTAAACCCTTAATAACTCATATTTTCAAACTCTGTCTGACCCTTTTTAACTGTCATTTTGTTTTTCCTCAGAGCAGGACTGGTTTTACTACATGAATATTGTTGTTTTGTGTGGTAACTACTCGGAGAAAGGGAACCCAAGACGGTCAGAGAGGGTTGGATCATCACAATTGGTGGCAACGGCGGGATCGTCTCTTTCTCATGAATTTATAATTCAAGGCTGAACCTGGAGCATGCATGGAGGCTTACTACAACCAGCTCAAGCGCAACACCCTGAAATACTTATTGCAGGTTCGAGGGGGCAACGGCAGCAATAAGACTAAGCGCTGTATTGTAAGTGAACTAATGGAGCTGGACAGGGAAAGCGTGGCTGCTGCAACCCCGTCTGTACGTGTAGAAGAAAGCGAAGTGGACCGAGAAATAAGGGAACGGCTGGTGCTGTTCGGGCCAAACCATGCGCCAGAGATCATCCTTCGCATAATTGACAGTGCGAATGAAAATGCGAATAAGCGATGGGAATTACAAATCCGCTTAGTGGAGGTGCAGAGAACTACAGCGGTCGCACCAAGCAGTTCCAGCTTTAACCCCGAACCGCGGAAAATTCCCTTCAGTGCATTCAAATCATTTGAGGAGGCTACAGACGAGATTGATGGCTATTTGGCAGACTTTGAGAGACAATGTGCCCTACACAAGATACCAGAAGGGGAACGGGTTCCAATTTTGGCTGGAAAGCTCTCTGGCAAAGCAGCTGATGCATTCAGAGCCATTCCTTATCAGGACATAAGCAGCTATGAGCAGGTGAAGGAAGCCCTCCTAGCCTGGTACGCAGTGACCCCAGAGGCATACCGGCGAAAATTCCAGGAAGACAGCAATCGATTCGTACACGGAGTGGGCTTGTAGGCTGCATCGGGCAACCACCCACTGGGTGAATGGATGCCAAGCTACCACCCTGGAGGAATTATTACAGCTGGTGCTGCTTGAACAGTTTTTCTCGCTGCTACAAACGGATGTAAAGGAATGGGTGAGGGATCGTAACCCCCTCACCCTGCAAGAAGCAGCCCGGCTTGCAGATGAATATACGGATGCCCGCAAGCCAGAACAACTGTCCCTCAGACCTCAACCAGCACGGGTTGAGCCACAAGCACCACTGTCAGGGGGCAACTATCCACCACCACAGCGAGCCCTAGCAGCTGTTAGTCGACCTCCCCAGACTACGAGACCCAGATGTTTCCGGTGCAAGCAGGTGGGACACTACTGCAGGGATTGCCCAATGGAACCTACCCAATCTACGTGGAATCATCCATCCGGTACCAGTTCCCGACCAGCAGTGCACACCATCGACTACTCTGTGTCCTCTACCTGGGAGGCCCGAGAGTTAACCAGGGAGGAGCCCTTGAGGTTCCTTCATGAGGTCAACCCGGTGCAGGCCGACAGCGAAGATAATCGACAACACCACGACAACTAGTGATGGTTAATGGCAAGACAGTACAAGGTCTACGAGATACAGGAGCCACTATCACCCTAGTACAGAGATACTTGTTTAACAACCACGAGCCACCCGGCAAATCCATCACTATACAGGTAGCAGGGGGAGCCGTCTACAGGATTCCTACCGCCAAAGTTCATTTGGATCGGGGTGTGGGTTTTGGAACTGTGAAAGTGGGGGTCATGAAGGATTTGCCTGCAGATGTGATCCTCGGAAATGACTTAGGTCCACTTACTTCCGACCTATATGCCTACACCTAACCAGGAGGTTCACACCAGGGGCGGACTGAGAGCCTTTGGGGCCCCCGGGCAAAATTAGATCCCAGGCCCTTTGAAGGCCAAATATATGTTTATTAAATAAATGTTAAATATAACTCATAATACGGCATTCCTTTGGATGTGTATATTGTGAAGACCTTTGTATCAATGCATGTTTGTATTTGAGTCTGTGTGAATGCACTTGTGCATGTCTGGATGACTACATATGCTTTTTTGTATATAGTGTCGGTGTGAATGCATATGTGACAGGTGACAGAGTGTGTGAGGGAGAAGGTGACAGGTGGAAGAGTGTTGGAGATTGTAACGGCACCCCCAGGCATAAAAGGGTTAAACCTCCGTTTAGTAGATCTTCCCTTCCAGAGACACACACAGGCACAGCTACTGCAGAACACCAATCCGCCGAACAGGAAACCATATGAATGCCGTAAAGAGCCGAATAGGAAAAATCATACGAATAGGTTTACACTCCTAGCAGTCAAACTGGAACAGCATACAATACATCCCCCCAAGAACGAGACAAGGCTCCGTTTTGAGGGTCAAGCAGGTACAGTCAGAGCTGTGGGTTTATTGTTCTTATATACACATTAGTACCACCCACAGGGTTTTGGAAAACCACCAATAAACACATACAATACACTCAGACATTCCCACACAAAATCCTTCCCTCTGCCTGTGATACAATTACCTTACACAATGGGTAATGTAATTATCACCGGCAGAGAAATACAGTTTTTCCACATTATTCATAACTTGAAAAGTATGCATCAAATTCACATAAAACATTTTCAGAATCAGCATACTCCAAATACAAACATATGTAAAAATCATCCAAATTGGTCCATTGGTTCAAAAGATAGATTGAAGTCCTTTGTGACCAAATGAAGCATGGCTTTTCTGCCCAAAACCAGTTTGTGGCGAAACCAACCTCGCCACTATGCACTGGAGAAGCCTGGTTGCCAGCCTCCTGCCATCTGACTATGGCCCCCTTGTGAATTCGTACTTTTGTATGCAATATTTGGGCATGTGACATTCTTATATTGCTGCTACTGGCCCTTTAAGGGCCATCCGTGAACATATTCTGCCTGTTAGGAATAATGCCTTTTTAAGACTGGGTAGCAAATTGCATTCAGGCTGTATTTAATATTATATGTTCGGTATAAAGTGTTAGGTGAATGCAGCATTCCCCTGATTGTTCGGTAGAATCACTTCATTCATTATATTGGGTGAAACTACCGAACAACCAGACCACCCGGGAGTAAGTGTGCCTCCAATTACCGTTTGCAACAATGTTGCAAACGGGTAATTGGCAATATGTGTACTGTGTGTTGTGTCCTCTGGGTGGCCGCCATTCGTGAAACGAACACGTGGCGGCGGCCATCTTAAACTCCCGAACAGCGGTGTTTTGCCGTCGAGTGTCTGGAACTAAAATCGGACACTTGACTAAGCAAACACCGCTGAGACCTCCAGACTTCCAGCAATTCATGCAGAAACTACCGAACGGCCCGCCGTTCGGTAGAAAGGATCCCACGAACAGGGGGATTCATACGAATCCTCCCCAAGCTCTGTAACACAGGCCATTCGTGTGTTTGATTCCCTTTTCTGTGACCGACTGCAGGGCCAAAGTACATGGAACTATTTTCGGATACTTTTGCCATGCAGTCGGTCAAAACTTTAACCCTTTATAATTCCTGAACCCCTGGTCCGATCTGGGTGATTTTTTGATATGTGTCTCACCCAGATCAGGGTTACCAGGGGATGTAACATTTAAAGGGGTATTCCTATGTTTAGGGGTACATCCAGTATCCCAGGGAATTTGTGTCTGTACTAATGGGATTATGTGTCACACTAAGGGGAGGAGAGGTGTGGGAGGTAACTGGTACATTATTGGCTGGGGTACTAATTGTTGTGGATCCCTCCCTTGCATGGGAGAATGTCTTAAAAGGAGGCTGTGTGAATAAATCTGGAGATTCTGCTTAACCCTCAAAACGAAGTGTCGTCTCGTTATTGGGGGAATTGGATTGTGTGCTGACTGCCAGGAGTGTAAGCCGTTCGTATGGCTTTTCCTGTTCGGCTGCTTCCAGAGTTCGTGTATTTCTTGTTCGTGAGTTGGGGATTCGTACAGTTTGGAGTTCGGGAGGTTGGTGATTGCAATAGCTGCTGGTCTATGGAAAGGGGATTATCGCCTAAACCGATTTTATCCCCTTGTGAGAGAAACGGTCCGTTACAATTGGTGGCAAGCGGCGGGATCGTTCCTACAACCAGAAAGACAGCTACAGGGCAACACCATTCCTTGGATTACAAAGTGAGGGCAACGCCAGTACACGTACAGCGACCCTATCGACAAAAGAACCAACTTCAGCAGCGCAAGCATGGCACCTAGCTACACTCAGGAGCAGTATGACAGAGAGTTTGCTATGCGGTTGGCTTTCTTTGGACCCAACCCCCCGGAGAAATACTTGCAGTTCGTAAGGAGCCAGGTAGACGAGTACCTGGAGTTCATGGCAGATCCAGCCAAAGGTATCAGCCGCCCCATCCGGAGGCAGAGTGCGTTACGGGGACTCATAGGTGTACCCCAGGGAGCTAAAGGTGCCGTCCTTCCTCCCCAGCGGCAGTGTGTACCCCAGGGAGCAGAAGGTGTCGTCCTTCCTCCCCAGCGGCAGTGTGTACCCCAGGGAGCTGAAGGTGTCGTCCTTCCTCCCCAGCGGCAGTGTGTATCCCAGGGTGCCGTCCTTCCTCCCCAGCGGCAGTGTGTACCCCAGGGAGCAGAAGGTGCCGTCCTTCCTCCCCAGCGGCAGTGTGTACCCCAGGGAGCAGAAGGTACCGTCCTTCCTCCCCAGCGGCAGTGTGTACCCCAGGGAGCAGAAGGTACCGTCCTTCCTCCCCAGCGGCAGTGTGAGCTACAGGGAGCTGAAGGTGTCGTCCTTCCTCCCCAGCGGCCGTGTGTGTCCCAGGGAGCGGAAGGTGTCGTCCTTCCTCCCCAGCGGCAGTGTGTGTCCCAGGGAGCAGAAGGTGCCGTCCTTCCTCCCCAGCGGCAGTGTGTATCCCAGGGAGCTGAAGGTACCGTCCTTCCTCCCCAGCGGCAGTGTGTACCCCAGGGAGCAGAAGGTGCCGTCCTTTCTCCCCAGCAGCAGTGTGTGTCCCAGGGAGCTGAAGGTGCAGTCCTTCCTCCCCAGCGGCAGTGTGTACCCCAGGGAGCTGAAGGTGTCGTCCTTCCTCCCCAGCGGCCGTGTGTGTCCCAGGGAGCTGAAGGTGTCGCCGTACTTCCTCCCCAGTGGCAGTGTGTCCTGCAGGAAGCGGAGACAGTCGGTCTCGCTCCCCAGCAGCAGGACAATATATTAAAAGGGGAGACAGTTGGTCCCCCTCTCCAACAGCAGAGAGTGTTCCAGGGAGAGGAACCAGTTATCACCTCTCCCCAGCAACAGGACGAATTATTGAAAGGGGAGACAGTCGGTCTCCCCCTTCAACAGCAGAGAGGTCAGGGAGAGGAGCTTGTTATCCCCTCTCCCCAGCGGCTGAAAGTATGTATGGGAGAGGAGCTTGTTACACTCTCTCCCCAGCGGCAGCTTAGCCCACCAAGGGGAGACAGTAATCTCCACAACAGTGCAGATGGGACAGTAGTCGCTGCACATGCACCACCGGGGGTAGGGACAGTCGGTCCTGTCACCCAGCAGCAGGACTGTTTAGGCAAAGGGGAGACAGTCTGCCTTCTCCTCCAGCAACCAGGCTCCAACCAGACTGCTCCCATGGTAGTGCTGGCACCAGGACAGAGTACCGCTGGTCTCTGTACACTCAGCAACCCACCCAGTACGCTGACCAGTCACCCACGCAGCCAGGGTGAGGCACCTGGACACGGACAAAGTTCTACTCTACCCTGGTGTAGTAGCCAGTTATTGTGGGTGGGCTGTATTACGGATTGTGTTTTGTGGGTGGGCTGCTGGACTAACAAGGGCACTGACCGGCAGGAGGTCAGATACCCTGTTAGTCTGATTGGTAAAGGGGAGAAGTGTGGCGAAACCAACCTCGCCACTATGCACTGGAGAAGCCTGGTTGCCAGCCTCCTGCCATCTGACTATGGCCCCCTTGTGAATTCGTACTTTTGTATGCAATATTTGGGCATGTGACATTTTTATATTGCTGCTACTGGCCCTTTAAGGGCCCTCCGTGAACATATTCTGCCTGTTAGGAATAATGCCTTTTTAAGACTGTGTAGCAAATTGCATTCAGGCTGTATTTAATATTATGTGTTCGGTGTAAAGTGTTATGTGAATGCAGCATTCCCCTGATTGTTCGGTAGAATCACTTCATTCATTATATTGGGTGAAACTACCGAACAACCAGACCACCCGGGAGTAAGTGTGCCTCCAATTACCGTTTGCAACAATGTTGCAAATGGGTAATTGGCAATGTGTGTAATGTGTGTTGTGTCCTCTGGGTGGCCGCCATTCGGGAAACGAACACGTGGCGGCGGCCATCTTAAACTCCCGAACAGCGGTGTTTTGCCGTCGAGTGTCTGGAACTAAAATCGGACACTCGACTAAGCAAACACCGCTGAGACCTCCAGACTTCCAGCAATTCGTGCAGAAACTACCGAACGGCCCGCCGTTCGGTAGAAAGGATCCCACGAACAGGGGGATTCATACGAATCCTCCCCAAGCTCTATAACCCAGGCAATTCGTGTGATTCATTCCCTTTTCTGTGACCGACTGCAGGGCCAAAGTACATGGAACTATTTTCGGATACTTTTGCCATGCAGTCGGTCAAAACTTTAACCCTTTATAATTCCTGAACCCCTGGTCCGATCTGGGTGATTTTTGGATATGTGTCTCCCCCAGATCAGGGTTACCAGGGGATGTAACATTTAAAGGGGTATTCCTATGTTTAGGGGTACATCCAGTATCCCAGGGAATTTGTGTCTGTATTAATCGGATTATGTGTCACACTAAGGGGAGGAGATGTGTGGGAGGTAACTGGTACATTATTGGCTGGGGTACTAATTGTTGTGGATCCCTCCCTTGCATGGGAGCATGTCTTAAAAGGAGGCTGTGTGAATAAATCTGGAGATTCTGCTTAACCCTCAAAACGAAGTGTCGTCTCGTTATTGGGGGAATTGGATTGTGTGCTGACTGCCAGGAGTGTAAGCCGTTCGTATTGCTTTTCCTGTTCGGCTGCTTCCAGAGTTCGTGTATTTCTTGTTCGTGAGTTGGGGATTCGTACAGTTTGGAGTTCGGGAAGTTGGTGTTTGCAATAGCTGCTGGTCTATGGGAAAGGGGATTATCGCCTAAACCGATTTTATCCCCTTGTGAGAGAAACGGTCCGTTACACTAGTGTTACAAAAAGGCTTTTACTTCCATCAATACAAATCTACCTGCATCTTCAGCAGATACAAGGCAAAGGGTCGAGGATAATGTATTGCATCAAAGTTTGAATGCAAAGAGTCTCTAAGAAGACTGACTTGGAAAGTGCAAATTTTGAGGTAAGGATTTGAGTAGGGGCAGCGTAAAGGGTCATTTCAGAAAAATAAAAATGGAAAAAAAATAAATACAATGTTTCTCTTACCTAACTACTACTGCCAGTGCCAGCCACTCTGATTCACTGATTTAGAATCGTTTTACTAATTTGTGAATTGTTGGCTTTTTTAACTGATAATTTACATTGCAGTGTGCTACTTTGCCACTGTTTGTGTTTTGGACATTGTAAGCTTAATCCCTCAGCAATATACACAGTGTGTGACTGAAATGTACTGCATGAGTTAACACTTCCTGATTGTGGTAGTTCTTTTGTTTAAATGGACTCTGTAGTAACCAAAACAACTTAATGCAGCAGTTTATGTGTACAGATCATGCCTCTGAAGTTTTACTGTTCGATTCTTTGCTATTTAATAGTTAACTATTTTGTTTTTGCCCATGCTACCTGGATGGGACTCACACAGACTGCTTTGTATCACCTACTCTGTAAATTGAACATTAATCACACACAGGAAGCTTCTGCGTGGTATAGAAAGCTATTAATAGTGCAGAAAATAAGAAATTCTAAATTAAATAGACTATGTAATAAAGGGAAGGTTGTGCACATAACATGCATAGAAATGTGACTAGGACAACATAAACAAAGTGATTTAACTCCTAAAGGGCAGGGAATTGAGCAGCAAGAATGCAGGGCCATAATCTATACAGCAAAACTGCTTCATTAAGTTGTTTTGGTTAAAATAGTGTCCCTGTAACTCTTTGTGAAAAACAAAAATATTTTAAAACATGGTGGTCCTAGTAGTTCACCAACCTTATTAAAAACAAATAAAAATCAAACATTAATTAAATTACTACTGCTGTTGATGCTCTCCCATTCTTCAAACGGCTTTCATGATTTTGCTTTGCTTGAGTCTTTCGGTGCCTGTTACCTCAGCAGATGCATTTGGTATAAGCTTAAAAACAGGGAATTTTTGAAAAGTATTATAGGAAAAAGTGAATGGGCAATAACACCTGCTGCGACTACAGTTTTTTTGTTGATGTTTTTTGTTACTGACGCAATAGACTGGATATGTGGTAAAGCTTTCTTCTTTTCAGAGTGGACTATGGACTTATTATTTTCATTTTTGGAATAAAAAGAAAAAGATTATAATCAATGATTGCAAAATGTTTTCTTACTTCCTATTTTATCCAAATATATAACAACTAATTTTGGCAACTCCGATTAGGAATTGCTAAAGTGGCTGATACTTCATAGCCTTTAGGCCAGGCAACAATGTATTTATTTAACTATTTTAACACAGCCTTTTTTTCTGCTGTTGTGGATGTCCAAAAAAGCTTCCTGAATAATTTTAATTACCAAAATTTGGCTGACTTAAAATCTGCTGAATTTTGTTTTGGAAGAACTGACAATTTTTGTCTTGAACATGTCTAATATTCATTTTAGCAGGTATTAGAGATCTCCAAAATCACAGTACCAACAGTAAAGACTTGATGCAAAGCTCCCAAATGATACTTGTGTATCCACAGTCTTGTTTCTTGAAATATTTTCAAATGGTTCTTTAAAGGAACACTATAGTCACCTAAATTACTTTAGCTAAATAAACAGTTTTAGCGTATAGATCATTCCCCTGCAATTTCACTGCTCAATTCACTGTCATTTAGGAGTTAAATCACTTTGTTTCTGTTTATACAGCCCTAGCCACACCTCCCCTGGCTATGATTGACATAGCCTGCATGAAAAAAAAACTGGTTTCACTTTCAAACAGATGTAATTTACCTTAAATAATTGTATCTCAATCTCAAAAGTGAACTTTAATCACATACAGGAGGCTCTTGAAGGGTCTAGCAAGCTATTAACATAGCAGGGAATAAGAAAATCTTAATTAAACAGAACTTGCAATAAAGAAAGCCTAAATAGGGCTCTCTTTACAGGAAGTGTTTATGGAGGGCTGTGCAAGTCATATGCAGGGAGGTGTGACTAGGGTTCATAAACAAATGGATTAAACTCCTAAATGGCAGATGATGGAGCAGTGAGGCTGCAGGGGCATGTTCTATACACCAAAACTGCTTCATTAAGCTAAAGTTGTTCAGGTGACTATAGTGTCCCTTTAATCATTTTTTTTCAGGCAAATATAGTGACACAAGCACACCTTAAAGAAAACAGATAAAAATGTGCATAGTGCAATAACATTAATGTATTGAGAATAATAAAACTCAAATTAAACTCTGCACTTTTCACCAGTGGGCCCAGAATGTTAAACCCTAAATCAGCTTAATGCCTGAGCAAGATGCCCCTATGACCTTTTCTGGGCCTTAGCAGAAGCACATACACCACACCATTTAATGCATTACTCTTAAACTATTGGACTTTTTCAAGATAGGCATTGTGGATATTCTCATTACATTTATAGTGTCTATTAACATATGTTCTTAAAAGCGCAGTCCTACAGCCAGACAGTAATACTAAAAATACAATTTAATGTTCTTTATCCAAAATACGTAGAACACTTTATTACATAATGTACAAAACAACCTGAATAACATTAAAGAGACCAATCAAAATACTTTAATTTAATGTAATATAAAATATAACTGAAACAAGGTTCTACAAAACTTGGTACAATCAAACACCCACCACAAATAACATATGGAGGAAATATTCCCTAGGATGAAAATACATATATCACACCTATTCATTATATTCTCACCCTGTAATAAAAATAGCAATAATCATAATAAAACCAGTCATTTATAAATACCCTTGATTATTTCTAAAAAAATATATAAATAAATTAAATAAAAATAAAATTACTTAAAAAGACACCATATGTCCAAAAATTACCCACCCAGGTTTTAATTAAGCATTAAGACCAGATTGATCAATGTTTTGAGTGTATATATTTTTCCTGATAAATTAATTTAACTGCTACTCACCCTCTCCCCATCATCTACTCACAACTTGAAGTATCGCAACCATATTCACTAACCAACTTTGTTGTTTCAGTATTCTTACTGTAAATCAGGTCTATATTTACCACAAAGCAAACAAGGCATTTGCCTAGGGCGGCACTTTCAAGGGGACGGCAAAAAACATAGCCCAAGCGCCCAGGCAAATGCCTTGTATGCCTCGTGTCCTGGGGGGGGCAAAGAGCTGTCCAGCTGGCCACATTAGGCCCCCCTAGCCGGCCGTTCTGCAATGCTGGGAGCTGGAATATGATGTCACTCCGGACAGAGTGTGTCAAATCAGTGAAGATGTGTGTGTCTTGAGTGAGTGAGTGTGTGTCTGTCAGAATATTTGTATCTGAGAGTGTGCGTGTCAGTGTGTGTCTGGCAGTGAAAGTGTGTGTTGGTTAAACAGTGTATGTGCCAATGACTGTGTATCTGTCAATGAGTGCATGTCAGTGCATGTATCAATGAAGGCGTGTGTCTGTCAGTCAAAAAAGTGGCCCTGTGACAAATTGGTGGGGAAAATTTAGATTGGTGGTAGCCTGAATTTAGTCATGCCTAGATCAGCACAATTTCAAAATACACCACTGCTGTAAATGTTACAGGGATTGTCACTGTTTTGTGATTCAGGCTGAAATAAGAACTTTGCCTATGTGTTTAAATACTAAAATTTGATTTTTGATTCTTTCCTGATGTATTTCATCAAAAACAACAGAATTTTATTTTAAAAAATCAAATAGTTTAAGTCTGAAACTTAAAGGAAAATTGACATTCCTTTGAAATTTAGATAACTGAACAAACATGTTGAAAATTACCTATAATTTGTGGAAACCTTTTTTTTCATGAGATGCTCCACTTTTCCTTTTCATTTATGTTAAATGTTTAGCGAGTTACATCATAATTCAGTTCACACAAGGCAAAACCAGGGCAAGAAGTTTCTTTCATTTCTCCTCTTCAATATTTAGATTTCTCACTAAATTCCAAAAAGGTAGATGATACTAGAGGAAGAAATTTCAACAGATGTTTCCAAGACAGGATGGGATCCTGACTTTCAAAATCAAGATACTCAATAACTATGGCCTGGTCGAGTTCAGAATTATCCTTCAAATATTTTCCATGATGTTTTATGCATGCCAGTTTTGAAGATAAAGATAACTAGACAATATGTTGTATGTACGGACAACAAGACTTTCGTCTCAAATGTTAACTGACAAGAAGAAACAATAGATGCTTCGGCTCAGGTATTGATGAAGACTGCATCTAGCTGATAATTATTGTGAATTGCAAGACACATTAAAAAATGATATTTTGAAAACAAGGTCCTCCCAAGATAAAATGATCACTCTTCCATCAAGTATACACCAGGAAATATTTAGAAAGCGCCTACATATTTAAATGTACAATAGATAGACTTACAAACAAATGGTTGCAATAAAACAAGGTACAAGAACAGAAGATGCTGAGGGCCATGCTGTAATAATCTGTAATCAATAGAAAATGTCTACATCATCCATGCCTTAGATCAGGGTGAATGGCTCCTTTGTCCAATCATATTTAAAGAGATCACCTACAGGTGGAGTTACACCAGATCTGAGCAGTATTAACAATAAGGTGATCTTATAAGCACATCAGAATGCTCAAGTCAAGTTGTTCTACAAAATGAAAAACAACCAGTGCGTAGTCAGAAATATAGCATATATTTTTCAATCTGTATATTTTGTCCTAAATGTTGAAGTTCACTTTGAATTCACTTTGACTCATGAGAATTCACACCTTAGTGAATAAACCTGTTTGCCCCAGATTTGTGTTTTTTTACATAGATGACATAAAACTTTTTTTTTTTTAAACATCACTGTTTAGAAGATCATTCCCAATGAAAACATTCATGCATTTTATCATGCATTTTTTATTGAGGCTATATTTAAAAATAGTTTGGATAAGCTGCATATCTAAAGCCTTTGCAAACCCCCAGTACAGACTTTCTGTGGCTGTCCAATTAGAGACATTCTAATGCAACTCAATGAGACGTTTTTGAAAGGCAGGTGCTCTGAGCAATAACATGCCTCTTGAGTTTAGCTCTACTGAGTTTAACAATCAAGAAGTAACAGGACCGTTAATCACATTAATTTTGTATACTCATAACGCTCTTACAATAAATTAACTGAATACACTTTAGCTTATTTAACACTATTTAATTTGTCTCCCACGTTTTATAATTAATGTAGGACTCACTGACATTGGGTTACTGTGAAGTAGTGGTGGGCTTAACACAATATGACCATATGGAGGAAATGAATCCCCATATTTGTTTTCTTAGATAGGCAATTTTAAGTAGCCTTATAAACTGTATAGGATTATTTAACTTAATCTGTAATATGCATTTTTTGTAAGGTGATGAAAGTGAACACACTAAAGGACTTCAGCAAGCTAAAGTGATTTAGATGTGTGGAGTGGTCCTTTAAGTGTCAGAGCAGTTTACCAACATTAAAGAGAACAATATTGTTTTTTGTTAGATTATTTTATTCCTGTTGAAATGCAAACTCATGTCAAATACTAATACAAAGCTGAAACATAGTTTTTATATATGGTAACTCAGGATAAAACAGCAGCATTTTTTTTTTGTCATTATAGTAATTTAGCATTTTCAGGTTTCAAGGCAACATCTGGACTAGACGGATTAGCCTATTTGAAGTCAGCATGTTCCAAAGAATCTAACATGCTTGGTATGCTTTCTTTATATTCTGTCTTACTTCAATCCCAGATGTCAACTGAATATTCATTAAAACTAAGCTGCAATCTAATGGCATCAGCGTCATAGAAAAGTTATAGGAACATATTGCTAGTCCCACTAATCCATGACAGCTCTATCTGGAATGTTTCTGAAATTTAATTACTATATTCCAGCATTTAATAATAATCCATATATTTATTAATAATATAAGGCAATTTGTAATGGTAGTAGCAACCTCATTTTATTTTACTCAATTGTGGAAAATATATGCATGCAAATACAGTATACATTTAAAAATAAAAATTGACTTTATCTTCTTGGGTATGATACATTTGCGTAAATAGGGTCTTGATGGGATTCCAATCTATCATTCCTTCCTGAAGTCTGAAACAATGAAAAAATATATATATTAATAAAACTGTACATTCCATGCTGCAGTGTTGTAAGAGGTTCTGAAGAGATTTCTCAAGTGATTTGTGAGATAGCACTCAGTGATGATTAATTGGAGGAGACTTGATCATAGAAACATAGAATATGACGGCTGATAAGAACCATTCGGCCCATCTAGTCTGCCCAATTTACTAAATCATTTCAATAGTCCCTGGCCTTATGTTATATCTAGGATAGCCTCAGGGCCGTCTTTACCGCGGGGCAAACGGGGCAGCTGTCCCGGGCCCAGTTACTCTTGGGGGCCCGAAGCAGCTGCACCGTGGGCCCCGCTGACCTCAAGCATTTTTCCCAACTGCCGGTGCAGCCACGCACCCGGTGGGCTTCTGTCAGCAGGGGCCCGGTCTGGCGCTTTAAGAGCGCGACCAGGCCCTCTTGCTTTTCGGCAGCCGGCTAGGAGGAAGTGACGGCTGCACGTCACTTCCTCCCATAGAGAGAGGAGCGCGCGGGAGGAGGAAGAGGCAGAGCGGTAGGGGTCTGGGCCGAGCTAGCCAGACCCCAACTCCCAGCAGCTTCAGCCACTGGTAGGAAAGTCACCCTCCAACGTAGAAAGGGTGGGTTTAATAGTGTAAATTTTGCATGTGTATCTGTGAATGTGTCAGTATGTCTGTCAGTGTGTGTCAGTATGTCTGTCAGTGCGTGTGTCAGTATGTCTGTCAGTATGTCTGTCAGTATGTCTGTCAGTGCGTGTGTCAGTATGTCTGTCAGTGTGTGTGTCAGTATGTCTGTCAGTGTATGTGTCAGTATGTCTGTCAGTGCGTGTGTGTGTCAGTATGCCTGTGTGTGTGTCTGTGAATGTGTGTCAATATGTCTGTCAGTATATGTGTGTGTGTCAGCATGTCTGTTAGTGTATGTGTCTCTGTGTGTCCATATGTATGTCAGTGTGTGCATGTCTGTATGTCGGTGTGTGCATGTCTGTATCAGTTTGACTCTTTGTGTCTGTATGTCGGTGTGTGTGTTGGTGAATGTGTCAGTGTGTCAGTATGTCTGTGTGTGTCTCAGTATATATCTGTCTGTCTATGTGTCAGTATGTCTGTCAGTTTATGTGTCTGTGTAAGTATGTCTATCAGTGTATGTTTGTGTGTCAGTTTGTCTGTATATCTGTGTGTGTATCTATATGTTGTCATTTTTTGTATCTGTGTGTTTGTCAGTGTGTATATATGTGTGTGTATCTGTATGAAGTCTGTGTGTGTGTGTATCTGCAAGTGTGTCAGGTGTGTATATGTGTGTCTGTGTAACTGCATGTGTGTCAGTGTTTGTATCTTTGTGTATGTCAGGATGTGTATCGGTGTGTCAGTGTGTATCTGTACGTTGTCTTTGTGTGTTTCAGTGTATCTGTATGTTATGTTATTAGTATGTGTGTCAGGGTGTGTATTTGTGTGTCAGGTTGTGTGCATATCTACCTGTGTGTGTATATGTGCATACATCTCAACATTCACACGCTAACACTACACACAAATACACCCCTGCATTCAAGCTTCAGCACAACATACAAATACACGTCTGTGTTAAACACCAACATTATATGTATACACACCCCTGCATTCAAAAACCAACACTACACATAAATACATGCTTACATTCAAACGCCAATGCCACATACAAACATATTCCATACAAAAACCTGTTTACATTGAAACACACAAAAACAGCTTAGTGCTAAATACAAACCTGCAAATATGGATAAATGGTAGAGCCCCAGCTGTCAAGGCATTGCTGGAGTTGCACAACAGATGGGGATCTACCTTTTAAACATCCTTGCAATAGGGAGGCCCAAAAAAAATATTCTTGCACCTCTCTACTTTAGGTAGCCACTGCGTTAAGGGTGATAACGTGTTTGCACGCCTGGGGAGGGTGTACATGGTCCAGGGGGCCCAAGCAAATGTTTTGCCCAGGGTCCAATCAATATTAAAGACGGCCCTGGATAGCCTTATGCCTATCCCACACATGCTTAAACTCCTTCACTGTGTTAACCACTACCACTTCAGCTGGAAGGCTATTCCATGCAACCACCACCCTCTCAGTAAAGTGATACTTCCTGATATTACATAGAAACATAGAAACATAGAATGTGACGGCAGATAAGAACCATTCGGCCCATCTAGTCTGCCCAATTTTCTAAAAACTTTAATTAGTCCCTAGCCTTATCTTATAGTTAGGATAGCCTTATGCCTATCCCATGCATGCTTAAACTCCTTTACTGTGTTAACCTCTACCACTTCAGCTGGAAGGCTATTCCATGCATCCACTACCCTCTCAGTAAAGTAATACTTCCTGATATTATTTTTAAACCTTTGTCCCTCTAATTTAAGACTATGTCCTCTTGTTGTGGTAGTTTTTCTTCTTTTAAATATAGTCTCCTCCTTTACTGTGTTGATTCCCTTTATATATTTAAATGTTTCTATCATATCCCCCCTGTCTCGTCTTTCCTCCAAGCTATACATGTTAAGATCCTTTAACCTTTCCTGGTAAGTTTTATCCCGCAATCCATGAACCAGTTTAGTAGCCCTTCTCTGAACCCTCTCTAAGGTATCAATATCCTTCTGAAGATACGGTCTCCAGTACTGTGTACAATACTCCAAGTGAGGTCTCACCAGTGTTCTGTACAATGGCATGAGCACTTCCCTCTTTCTACTGCTAATACCTCTCCCTATACAACCAAGCATTCTGCTAGCATTTCCTGCTGCTCTATTACATTGTCTGCCTACCTTTAAGTCATCAGAAATAATCACCCCTAAATCCCTTTCCTCATATGTTGAGGTTAGGACTCTATCAAATATTCTGTACTCTGCCCTTGGGTTTTTACGTCCAAGATGCATTATCTTGCACTTATCCACATTAAATGTCAGTTGCCACAATTCTGACCATTTTTCTAGTTTACCTAAATCACATTTGGCTTATTCTGACCAGTATCATCAGCAAAAGACATACCTTACCATCAAGACCTTCTGCAATATCACTAAATATTAATGGTTAAGTAGATCCCTAAAGAGAATGGGTCCAAGTACAGATCCCTGAGGTACCCCACTGGTGACAAGTCCAAGCTTCGAATATATTCCATTAACTACAACCCTCTGTTGCCTGTCACTCAGCCACTGCCTTACCCATTCAACAATATTGGAATCCAAACTTAAAGATTGCAGTTTATTGATAAGCCTTCTAT